ATGACTTTTTGAAAATCCAATAATGTTTAGTAGATGCCAATTAATAACAAAACCCAAAAGATTCATGGATAAAAATTATTTTCTCTCTCAACTGGATCTCAAAAAATTTCCATATACTGTACCATGTTTGTAGATCATATAGTAATTTGTGTCTACAAACTTCAAAAGACTGCAAATTCACTCATTAATATGAAAAATAATTATTATTTGAAACCCAAGTTATAGTTTTGAAATAAAACCTCCACAAATATCTTTTAAAAGATAGAGCTAGGGTCAAGGCCTGGGAACTTTCATTCAAATACTTTATTCAGTAAAGACCTAGTGCTTATAGTGTGCTAGGTACTGGGATATAATAGTGAAAAAGAGATAGTCTAATTGATAGTTCAATTTATGCCAGTGATCCAATAGCAATATTCTAAAACTAAGGAGCCATAAATCCACTTAATAATATTATCATTTACCCAGCAATTCTCTATCTTTGCCAAAGAATAATGTGAAATTGTCAGATACTTTGCTGAATTCAAGTAACTTATGAACACAAACAATATGCCAATGCAAGGACCACAAAAATTAGTGCAATATGGACCTTGCTCTCAAGAAGCTCATAATTTTGAATAAGAGATAAACTATGTCTTGGCATTCCTCCAGTCGACCAAAATAGTAATCCCATAAAAATGAGTCATCCTGTATTTCATCTTCTTACTCTTAGTTATATCCTGCTGCAAAATTAAAATACATCTTTTCTCTCTTGGTGTTTACAAGTTCCAAATATTTGTATACTTATGTCTCTACTTCACTGTCTTTCAGCCAAGATGAATATATTTAGCTCTCTTTCTCCTTTCCTTTTAAACCAATTCCTCAATTTAAATGATCTTTTTGGTGACTTTATTTAAATTCTCTATTTCTGTATTAAATTCTAGGATCCAAATGACATAATTAAAATACTCTTCCTGATAGAAAATCAATCATAATGAAATATACCAATCTTTTTGATGATATAATGCTTCTGTGTGTGACTGTCTAAAACATTGACTTTCATTGACTTTTTCAGGGGTTATAGTATTACACTGCAAATTTATATTTACTCTCTAACACCTTTAATTGTATGGAGTTTCCAGGTTTCTCAAATGAAAATTTGGTGAGCACCCTGAAATGGTGGTGACTAACAAATAGTGTAAAGCCAGATTTCTGATAGCAATAGAAAATGAAGCATTAAAAAAAAAAAAAAAAATCATTGACTAAAACAGCAGTTCTACTCCTAAGCTCACAAATAAAATGATTTTTCAAATGTCTCCATCATCCTTTTGATACCATATTCATACACAGTATATTTTATATTTCTGTATCTACTACAGATTATATCTATTAAGTAAACATACAGTTTAAATCTTCTACTCCTGAAATAACTTTGGCAAAACCATGACAAATATATACAGATATCAGGACTCATGATCAGTGAAAAGAATTGAGGAGGCTGTCACAGACTAGATTCCTGTTGATTCAAAATTTCAAATCATATTAAAGTTATGCAGGGAGTGGAGGCATTCAGTAAATGTGTGGGTAAAACATAAACAAGTGCTATCCTAGATCAGAACCACATTCAGAACACATGTTCAATATTGTGGTCATGCTATGGACAAAGTAATAATAATCAGTGGTGGTTTCTTTAGTGGGGGCAAAAACTTCATTCTGTTGCTCACAAACTTTCAGTACTTCAACAAACAAACAAAAAGACCGCCTAAACTCTCTAGCCTGATATTTAGGGCCTGTCTCAATCAGGCTCCAACCCATGTTTCTAGTCTTACTTCATGCTACCCCAATTCAGCGCATCCATATTTCAGCCAGGCAGAACACCACACCCTTTTTTGAAATAATTCAAGTGCTTTCTAACCTCAGAATTTTTATATCCAACACTCCCTTAGGTTACCTCCATCCCCTAAATTTCTTATTTAAATTCTACTCATCCTTCAAAGTCCAGCTCAAATGCTGCCTGCTCTCTGAAACTTTCCTGTAACCCCTACTCAGAACCTCTTCTGACCTTGAATAGCATTTAGTCTGTACCACTCATGTAGCTACAAGCACAGTCTCTCTCATGTATCTTACACTATAATTGCTTGTGGGCATATCACATTTCTTCTCTCAGACTGTAAGTTCCTTGAGAAGAAGGTCTTTGATGCAGTCATATTTGTACTGTCCCTGTGCCTCCACGCTTTATACATACAAAAAAATAATAAATGTTCATTGAACACAGTGTGTTCAAATACTTGATCCAAAAAATGTAATAATATCCTCACTGATATTCATTCACAGAGGAAATATTTTCTCAACATCTCTTGTGTACAGGGGTAGTAGTATATAAGAAGAAGCAGATGTAGACCATGCTCTTTCAAGAATTTTACAGGCCAGGAGATGATCTAAGACATTTACATAAATTACTATATACTAATAGATAAACACCACGAAAAAAGTAAAAATGAAGCACAACAGGAACCAATAATAAGAAGAGATTATTTCCAGGTAGAAATGGACACGAGGGTAAATTTTAACATTTTTGCTGGAGCCTGAAAGACAAGAAGTATTTGAATATGTAGCTAGGACAGGGGAAATAAGGGCCATTGAGGCAAGAAATCTCAGAAGGATACAGGGAACAACCAATAGTTTAGTAGTAAAGTGTATGTGAAAAATGACCAGGAATAGAGAAGAATTTTAAAAACAGTTGGAGCTATATCTGGTAAGACCCTGAAAGCCAAATAAAGAACTAGAGCTTTCGTCTGTAAGCAGTGAGGAACTACTTCAAAGTTCTTGGCCCGGCACGATGGCTTACAACTGGAATCCTAGCATTTTAGGAGGCCAAGGTGGGAGGATCACTTGAGCCCAGGAGTTAGACCAGCCTGGGCAATAGAGACCCCCATATCTACAAAAAATTGAAAAATTAGCTGGGCCTGGTGGCACATGCCTGTGGTCCCAGCTGAAGCAGGAGGATTGCTTGAGCCCAGGAATGGGAGGCTGCAGTGATCTATAAATATGATGATACAACTGTACTCTAGCCCTAGTGACAGAGAGAGAGCTTGTATCAAAAAATAAAATAAATAATATTTCAAAGTTCTTGAGCAGGATCTGAGTAATTAGTTAGAAGGTCTAAAGTGGACTGGAGGAGAAAGAGATTGTTGACAAGGAGATAAGTTAAGAGGCTAGTACCATAACACAAGAAAGAGATAATAAAAGGCCTGAACTAAGGAGTGAGGCACTGGAGATAAAAATAGATGAATGGTTCAGTTTTAGCATCAGAGACATTAAAAATGAAAAGAAGAGAAAAGATATGAACAGAAGAGATATTTTAGAGACAACACTAAACTAAAAGAATTTGGCAAGTTCTGGATGTAGAGTGCAAAAAAGAGTCTTCAAAGCAGCAAAAGAAGTTTCTAGGCTAGGAAGAGTGCCATAACCAAATCAGAGGATGGTAAAGCAGCAGCAAGTTTGGATGGGAGAAAACTGAGTCCTGGTCATACTGAGTTTTAGTACCATCATCAATTTCTCCTTTTTTACTCTAATATCCCACATTTGCACTATAAGCAAATCCTGGGCACTCCACCTTCCAAATATGTCCAGAATCTGACCACTTCTCAGTACCTCTATTACTCTCATTCAGGTGACACTATTGTGAGTAAAATGTGTTAAACTATGCTGTTTAGAACAAAATGTACAGTTTTGTGAAATAAAAGAGAAGAGCTCAAATTAATCAACCCTCCATAAAAGACTCTGATCAATGATTCAAACAAAATTAGAACCTCAAAAATATAACTCTCATAGGTTAAATTAAGCACATAGCCGATTAAAAGCCCATTTCTGAAGGAGCGCATGATAAGAACAACCTCATATACCCAACAATCAGTTTAAAGCATACTGACTATGGCTAATAGTAAGGTGGGGTGGAAGTCTTGAAGAACCTTTCAGTTAAAAATTATAATTTACCTACCATTTCTGTTAAAATAAAAATTATATTTACCATTTCTGTTAAAAGGGTAAATGCATCTTTTGTGGGTGCTATCATTTGGCGTTAATTTAACAATGCCACAGCAAGAGGTGATCAACTCATATCACTAGCCCTGACTGACAAGGTACCAAGGGATACTAACTAGATCTTTTTTCGCATTTAATTTTTTCTTTAATAAACACCTCTCCTCAGTTAATAAAATGGAGTCTACCTAGATGTATCCCTACCCTATCTCTAGAATTCTCAAAAGCCTAAGACAAAAATGATCATGATATCACTTTGGGGATGGGGAGCACAAAATAAAATCTCTAATGATAAACTGAGGATAAAATGAGGATTACAGCTATTCTGTAATCATATCTTCTTAAGAACAAACAAAAAACTCATCAACATAAACTAAAATGACAACAATGTGAAGATGAATATCTAGCATATAATCTGATATTAATAAATGGTTGTTACATGTATACTGAATAGAAAATTAAAGTCAAACATTTGAATTATGGCTAATTTGCCTAATAAGTATATCCCACCTATTAAGAGTTATTTATTCATTTATTTATTGTTAATGCTGATAACAAAATTCTTTTTACCAGATGCCATGCCAGTATTTCAGTTTAAATCTTAAGGGAAAAACGTAAGAACCCCGTCTTTAATTATGTTTTTACTAATGATGAATAATAACATGAAGAGCAAACTAGACCGAAATGTACTTTTCTCACATGGAATTACTCCATTAAAATTATGCAATAATCATTTGCTTAAAATCACATTGACATTTTATAGCCATGCATAAGTATAATGGAATCATATATATACATCAAATGTTAATAATGGAACTCTTTTGATTGTAGGTTTATGGGTTTTTACTTCCTTCTTTTTTGCTTATGTGTATTTTCAAAATTTTCTATAATTAATGTTTTATTATAATTGTACCAAGAAGAAAAGATATTTTTTAGAAGAGGAGAAAAAACCATATTGATGAATTTAAAAGAAACATACTTACCAAGTCTCTGTGAAGCACCCAATTTGCATGGAGGTAATGGATACCATCAAGAATCTGGTAAAGTAATGATTTAACCATAGATCTTGGCAACTGCATGGGTTTTTTATTTGCTTTTGATGCACGGTGAAACTTAATAATATGCTAAAAAATCAAAAAATAAAATATACTATAATAATATATTCTTTGCTAATATCTATGCCAATAAAATACAATCAAGGCTATAATAAATGCTCTATATTTTAAGATTACTTATTAAAGGCCAATAATAACAGGAAGGAAAATAATTTGAATAATAAGGTTGACTAAAGCTTATCTATGTTGGGGGTGAATGTAATGTTAATGTGGGGGTCAAAATGATTAGATTTACTGAAACCATTAAAATTTTCATTAAATAGGACCAAAAGGTAAAAAGGGTTGATATCTAACAGCTGCTTAAGAATAGTGTTAGTTATATTCTCTACTGACAGAATGAAAGATTTAAAAAAAGAAGAAAAAAATCTGTAAATCTTTATTATTCTATAGAAAGTTAGCACTAAGTGCATTTGGGTAACATCACTGACTATGTGTATACTTGAATTATTAGGAAAGGTCCACCTTCTTTTGGCACAGAATGAATTAGGATATATTCCCAGGTGTTAATATTAAATAGATAATCACTAAAAGGAAAGAAAAATGGGAAATTCAATCTCACTAAAATAAATACAATTGGACCATCATATTCAAATTTTTTCATCCACACATTATACTGTGGGTTATAAAAACATTGTGATGAAAGGGAAGAAACGGTACCTGCTCCCCATCCCCCACACTGCCACCTCCATCCCTACCTCACCCTCTGTCCAAAACATGCCTAATGGACACTGAGGGCCTTCAAGACCCTATCAAACAATATTGGTAAAGTCATCAGTGTTCTACTAACTTTAAAATGACCAAATGGTATGTAAAATCGTGGAGCTATTTATGCAGATTTCCTATTTTTTATCAACTATTCAATAAAATTCACTTGATTTTAAGAAATAATAGAAAATCAGGCTGGGCATGGTGGCTCTCGCCTGTAATCCTAGCACTCTGAGAGGCCGAGGCGGGAGGATGGATCGCTCAAGGTCAGCAGTTCGAAACCAGCCTGAGCAAGAATAAGACCCCCGTCTCTACTAAAAAAATAGAAAGAAATTAATTGGCTAACTAAAAATATATAGGAAAATTAGCTGGGCATGGTGGTGCATGCCTGTAGTTCCAGCTACTTGGGAGGCTGAGGCAGTAGGATCGCTTGAGCCCAGGAGTTTGAGGTTGCTGTGAGCTAGGCTGACGCCACGGCACTCTAGTCTACCCAACAGAGTAAGACTCTGTCTCAAAAAAAAAAAAAGAAGAAATAATACAAAATCAAAATCAGAGTTTATACTTTAGCAGCAATTTCCATTAGAAATATAATGGGGGCCACATACATAACTTTCAACTTTTTAACAACCACATTAAAAAAGGAGAAACAGGTACAATGAATGTGTGCACCATATTGTACAGTACAGTTCTACAGGATCTGACTAGTCTAATGCACTACATCCTTCATCATACCACTAATGTTCAAAGTGAAGTACATACATTATCAATTAAACCTTGGTAGACAAATAGGAGAATACAGAAAAATGGAAAAAATACAATTTTTATGAATATCCATGAAAAAAATTGAAAAAAGCACACTGGAGATTTTTGTCAATACGTGCTATAATAGCAAGAATTCCAAAAATTCCTTTAATACCTGAGTCTGTTAAAGTTATTCCTAAACAGATGTATAATTTATATACATGACAAACCACACCATATTGAATCAAAATTTAATTACCCATAATTTTGACTTACTGCTAAATTTGAATTTGTTTTACTTTTAGCAGTCCTTCAGATAAAATGTTCAAATGTCCTGATTCCTAATTTTAAAAGAATTAAAAATTTTTGCTTTTATCATATATTGACAAAGTATCTTTAAAATCTGCAAAGTCACACATATACTTTTAAAATTTTTTTATTTTTAATTATTATGGGCATACATATACTTCTATCTGGTGGAGCTAGTTTTAAACAGAAAAATGCTTCAGGAGGTAGACCTTAACTTGGAAAGAGAAACTATTCACAAGTACATATCTAGTTAAATTTAAGCTACTATGAGTATCACAAAAGAAAGTAATCTTCACTACATGTATTGTTAAACTGCCACTAATTTACTTACATAAAATTATAGTCTCCCACTCACTAAAATAATCTGAAGTGAAATTTTTGAATATTACAAATACTGTGTTCTCAGTAACATGTTTATTGTACAAATTCTTTAAAATCAACATTTACATTTATTATATTTATTTGGGGTTTCTTTAACAGCCCGAGCTAGGATATATTATATTTATTTTGAACTATGATTATCAGAGCAATCTTTTCTTTCTGTACATTAGCAATATGTACCACATACTTATATGCTCCATACCTATATAAAATAATCCTAAAAATACAGTGAATTTATACTTACCCACAAGTCATGTTCTGCATAATCAAACAGCAGCCACACCTTCCTGTCACTGTGAGAAAGGAACACCTTCTGCAATGCGATCACATTAGGGTGCTTCAATTCTCGCAAAAGCTAAATGCAAGAGAAAGAGATAGGTCACTATTCTGTTAGCAAGGACGTGGAAATGATGAATTTCTTGTAACTATTTCAAAAGGAAATTTTTAAAAATTTAGAAAATCCAGGTAAGCAAAATCAAAGAAAAAATGCCACCCCAAATAGGTGCATACCTTTCCAATCCTTTTTCTATATGTATGTGCATGTTTTTAAAATAGGATCAATATAAATGGCAAAATGTAAACAAAAGTGGTATCATATCGGTAAAGAATTAATTACACTTTGGTACATGCATATCTTTTTTACTAGAGAAACAGTTCCTTGGGAGGCAGTAATCATATATTGACACTGGTTATATCCACCCCAGCCCAGTATTGGTGCTCAATAAATATCTGGCAAAAGAAGGAAAGAGAGCCAACATTCTTTACACTTATCCATGCCTATACTGTATGGTTGAGGTTTTGTTTGAATTGAGTATAAGGAAATGACTCTTATACACACTGATAAAAATAGGAGTTGAGAAGAGGTCCTGTAAATAGAACAAAAACAAAAGGAATAGGCCTTCACAAAGTATAAGCTTCAAGCTGGACTTTGACAACATGGAAGACAGACCAGATCAGCAAGTGAATACTCAGCATTTGGCACGTAACAAACAGTTGCTTGATAAAATATTTAACAACAATGACATTAACTGTTCAAGGTGAAAGCCTTATAAATATGCCTGCCTCAGGCTGTCCTTAACCAGGGTTCACATTTACTAGGTAGAAACATACTCAAGTTGATAAATATTTTGAATAACTTTTAAATGTAAAGCTCTGTGGAAGATACAAAAAGGAAAAGGGAAGAACATAACTATTGAACATGTTGTATGTGCAAGATAATTATATACAAAATGTTTTTCTCCCATTTAATCCTTATGACAATCCAATAATACACAAAGAATCTGAAGTTCAGTGTGATAAAAATGACTTGACCAATGTCTAACAGCTAAAAAAGAAGGGGTTTAGCCTTAAATAGATCTGCCTGATTCCAAAGTCCATGCTTCTTCCACTATAGCTAAAGTCCTTGTCTTCAACTCCCACACGTAGTAGGGAAGACAGACCTATAAATAGATCCATGAGGCAGAGAAAAATAAACTGCTTACCCATTCTAATAACTTTAATAACTTTAAATGAGCAACGTGTAGCTTGAGTACTTGTGCTGGAATCATGTAAAAATCATCTGAACTCCATCTCTGGAATTTTTATAGACTATTTTCCAGTTGCCTATTTCTTCATTATTTTCAGTTACAGACTTCCTAGTTCTTAATTCTCTCATTTTGGCTCTGTACCTTGGCTCTTTCTGTTCATCTACACCTTGAAAACTTTGCCTTAAAGTGCTCTTCTGGCTATAAATTAGTCATGATTCCAGGATATAACTCCCTGGATTCTGCTTCTAACCCATATGCCCTGGAACACAGATATCAAGAGCTAGGATGGGCTGGGCTGTCTCTAGCCCATCTTCCACTTTTCCCAGCCTGCCTCAGTGTTCTCTCTCCATCTCCTGTTGGGTCTAGGTGGGAAAGGGGAGGCTGAAAGGGAAAAGACCAGGGAAGACATAACAATCCTACTCCCTTGGGTGGGGAGAGAGATTAGGCAGTGCTCACCTATCAGCTGCTATCTCAGTTGGTACTGTCTAAGAAATACAAAGCAGCTCTGCTTCTTGCTTCAGATGCAAGTGTTAGACATAATATGCTCCCCATTAATGATGGAATCAGAGAAAGTCGCATTTTGGAGAGATATAGAGCTATAGCTAGAATTTGCTGCTTTTGAATGCTTTAGGCTAACTCTGTCAAATAATATTTTTCATGATCCCATTGCCCCTGCCAGCCTTGAAGTCCTTGGACCCTGGTAAAAGGCCTCATTCCAGGCACAGTGACTTATCTCCCTTTTTCAGACTCCTTGGTATTGATGAACTTCGAGAGTCTGCCTTTATTTTCTTCCAAAAATATGCTCTCTATGCAGCCTAAAAGAGATATGAAGAGGAAACTCCACTTTTGCATCTCAGCCAGGCTCCTGAAACAACACACACTGGCACTGACTCCAGATCCCTGGATCTCACTTGTCTGGGAGAGGGGATGACACTTGTAGCAGTAGTTAATCAACACCTCTAAATACTACGCTCTCTGTAACTGAACATTGTTGATCCCTTTACAATGAATTCATTTTAAGTAACATGTTAAAATAACTAATTTGACTAGATAATACATTTATGTTATTACATATAATTTGACTAGATAATACATGGTTCAAAAATTAAAATTACACACAAGGAGAAATATTGAGATGTCTCACTACTACTACTCTTGCCTTCCTGGAGGCAACAACTTTTATTAGTTGCTTGTTTAATCCTTGCAATGTTTCTTTATGCACATAAAAGCAAATGTGAATTTATATTTTTATCCTCTTATTTACATAAAAGATAGTATAATATACACACTGTTCGCATGTTATTTTTTTTACATTTAATCTATCTTGGGTATCTTTCAATATTACTACAGTATCAATATATAGACATCTTTTCTATTCGTTTTTACAGATGCATGGTACCTCTACATCACCTTTTTTCTTGTGGTAAAATACATATAACATAAAAGTTACCATTTCAACCATTTTTAAGTGTACGGTTCAGTGGAATTAAGTATATTCACCATCACCACTACCCATTTCCAGAACTTTTTCATCATCCCAAACTGAAAATCTACACGATTAAACAGTATCTCCCTATTCCCCCCACCCCATTCTGCAGACCATGAATCAAGGAGTAATTTTGACTACCAAGTCTTATTCTTTAAGAAATACATTTTGAGAGGCTATGGCTGACATAGACAGTAATTCCTCTGATGGATTTGGGCCATGTAAGTTGAAAACCTTCTGGAAAGCATTCACCATTCTGGATGTCATTAAGAACATTTGTGGCTGGGCATGGTGGGTCACGCCTGTAATCCTAGCACTCTGGGAGGCCCAGGTGGGCGGATTGCTCAAGGTCAGGAGTTCAAAACCAGCCTGAGCAAGAGCGAGACCCTGTCTCTACTATAAATAGAAAGAAATTAATTGGCCAACTAATATATATAAAAAAAAATTAGCTGGGCATGGTAGTACATGCCTGTAGTCCCAGCTACTCGGGAGGCTGAGGCAGTAGGATGCTTGAGCCCAGGAGTTTGAGGTTGCTGTGAGCTAGGCTGACGCCACGGCACTCACTCTAGCTTGGGCAACAAAGTGAGACTCTGTCTAAAAAAAAAAAAAAGAACATTTGTGATTTATGGGAGGAGGTCAAAATATTAACATTAACAGGAAGCTTGGAAGAAGCTGATTTCAACTGTCATGGATGACTTTGAATGGTTCAAGATGTCAATAGAGGAAATAACTGCAGATGTAGTGGAAATAGCAAGAGAACTAGAATTATAAATGGAGCTTAAAGATGGAGGTGACTGAATTGCTACAATTTCATGATAAAACTGGAAGGGAAGAGGAATTGCCTCTGACAGATAGATGATCAAAGAAAGTATTTGTTTGTTTGTTTGTTTTCTGAAGCTATAGTGAGCTATAAAGAAAGTGGTTTCCTGAGACGAAATCTATGCCTGGTGAAGATGCTGTGGAACATCGTTGAAATGACGAGAAAGGATTTAGAATATTCCATAAACTCAGTTGATAAAGCAGCAGGAGGGTTTGAGAAGATTAACTCCAATTCTGAAAGAAGTTCTACTTTGGTAAAATGCTATCCAATAGCATCAAGTGCTATGGAGAAATTTTTCATGAAAGGAAGAGTCAATGAATGCGGCAAACTTCATTGTTGCCTTATTTTAAGAAATTGCCACTCAGTCTTCAGCAATCATCATCCTGATTAGTGAGCAGCTATTGACATCGAGGTAAGACACTCCACCAACAAAAAGATTACAACTCACTAAAGGCTCAGATGATCATTAGCATTCTTTAGCAATAAAGTACTTTTAATTAAAATATATACATTGTTTTATTTTCTTTTTTTCTTTTTTTTTTTTGAGACAGAGTCTCACTCTGTTGCCTGGACTAGAGTGTCATGGTGTCAGCCTAGCTCACAGCAACCTCAAACTCCTGGACTCAAGCAATCCTTCTGCCTCAACCTCCCAAGTATCTGGGACTACAGGCATGTGTCACCATGCCCAGCTAATTTTCTCTACATATTTTCAGTTGGCCAATTAATTTCTTTCTATTTTTAGTAGAAATGGGGGTCTCACTCTTGCTCAGGCTGGTTTCAAACTCCTGACCTTGAGCGATCCGCACAGCTCGGCCTCCCAGAGTGCTAGGATTACAGGCGTGACCCACCGTGCCCAGCCTTATACGTTGCTTTTTAAAAAAACTTTTTGCCTCATCCACCCCTACATTGTTTTTTAGATATGCTATTGCACACTTAATAGACTACTATATAGTAGTATATTAACTGGGAAAAATTTGTGTGACTTGCTTTTTTGTGATATTTAGTCTACCGCAGTGGTATAGAACTGAACCTGCAATATCTCTGAGGGAAGAATGTGAAGTATACAACTACATGTATTCCCTAGGAATTCTTCCCTAATCCCCAAATTTGCATTTTCTAGCATAGCAATATACACTTTCTATTTCTGCACACCTGTTATGCTTTTTCTACCCTACAGATTTCTATAAGACAGTAAATGTAACTGTGAAGACAAGTTGAGGAAAACAGCAAATTAATGTCACCTATGTCTCCTTCTAATTCCTCTTTCACCCTCATCTCCACCTCTAGGAAGTGGTCTAGGAATCAAAGCAAGAGACAAGGCAAAGACCGTATATAATAAAGCAAAGGCCTCATAAACAGGCAGAAGTGTCACCACTGAGGTTCTCCAGTGTCACTGAGAACATGCTAGGGAAAATAGATTAGTGGAGAAGCCACCTGTTAGAAAAGGCACCACATTTTGACTACCTTCTGTACTTGTTTCATGGTCATACCACTAAACAAATGAGTTTGAGGGTGGTGGATGA